TTTTAATTTATGGATATGGTTTACATTTTATATGTTGATGCTTAGGGACAAACCACCATCTGCTCAAGAAGGAATTTTCAAGATGGCCACTAATAATCTAAATATGTTTTGTTCGGTGGGATTCGCTACTCCGTGGAGTTGCTGTTGTTTTTAGTTAACAGTAGTTATATGTGATAATTTTGTAAAAGGATTAATCAGCAAAAACTCATAATCACTTTTTATTGTCGGCCATTTTGGTTTTGTCCGTCCTAAAATCTTGTCTGTAAAGTTTTGTCTACTTGTTTTCAGGTGAACCGTTTGGTAGATCAATTTCAAATTTTCAGGGATGATTCTTAGTATGAAAATCTAGATCTGATTAGTTTTTTGGCGTTCTGGGTAAATGTCAAGGCAGCCATTTTGGATTTTCCGTCCTAAAATCTTGTCTGTAAAGTCTTGTCTGTTAAGTCTTGTCTACGCATTTCCAGGTGAACCGTTTGGTAGATCAATTTCAAAGTTTCAGGGATGATTCTTAGTATGAAAATCTAGATCTGTTTAGTTTTGTTGGCGTTCTGGGGCAGCCGTTTTGGATTTTCTGTCCTAAAATCTTGTCTACGCATTTCCAGGTGAACCGTTTGTTAGATCAATTTCAAATTTTCAGGGATGATTCTTAGTATGAAAATCTAGATCTGATTAGTTTTTTGGCATTCTGGATAAATGTCAAGGCAGCCATTTTGGATTTTCTGTCCTCAAATTGTGTCAGTAAAGTCTTGTCTACTCATTTTCAGGATAACCATTTGGCGGGATCATCCATTGGGGGGGACATTTTGTACACATTTGTGTTCTTGTTACAACTTGCCAATGATACTCTTCAGCTATTTTGTACAAATTTTCAGTGAATTTGGTTCATCATTTGCCGAGTTAATTCTTGTCAAGAAGTGGCTAATTTTTTAGGCACACCTGATATATGATATTCCCTAGGTGTTACCACCATGCAGGGGAATGGGGAAAACCTGCTCATTTCATGCAGAAGCAAAGGCAATGGCATCCTTCTTCAAAGGACTTCATTTATGCTCAAATTCAGCCCTTCACTCAAGCCCAGGTAGTTTCATTTTAGGGGCCTTATATAACCTGAGTTTCCTAGTGGTCAACGCAGACTGAATGCGTTGTGCAAATTGTCCAATTACATGTCTCATTTCCTGGAACTTATGAATAATCTTACAATTTGTGTCTCTTAAAACCACCTTATTTCTGCAATATTCTTTTTGTTTTCCGTGAAATGGTTAAATATTTTAATTTTGGACATACTATAGAATGTTCTACGGATGATGTTTTATTCTTAAGCTAATATTTGTATAAATCCTATGATTTTTTTACAGATTACAAACTTCTAAGTCATAAGATATGTAAGGGCATACTGCTATAGTATAAAGACAACTTTGTGGACCCTTCAACAGGATTTTAATTACCCTTGTACACTGTGTCTAGTAGTTCTCTTAGGGTATGTGGTGTAGGCTAATATTGTTTAATGTCCAGTTTGTTTGCACAAGCCCAACAATTGAATAGAGAGAAGCAAGGGTATATACTTGTAAAATACCCTTGCAGCAAGGATGAGGCAATGGAAGATGCTTTACTCTGGAAAGTCAACAATGTTTAAAGAGGCTCTATGCCATAGGATAGCACAATCAAGATCCCCCTGGGCTTTTTTGCATATTGAGCTTCACCACATATTCACCCATCTACTTACTAAAGGAGAAGTCCCAAATCCCCATCTTTTAGTTTTAATTTTGCGATTGTGCTGGCCTATCTAATTATTTTCGAAGAAATTAATTCAATCTGAAGTTTGAATATACCGGTCCTATAACAGTCCTCCTGTTATCTGATTGGTTGTTGAATTTGTTTATCATGAACCTGATTGACTGCCTGGTTCTAGGCGGTTGTGGGTGCTTGTGTGACTCAGTGGGGATTCCCCTCGCTAGCCGAGGAATCGATTGTGTTTAATTCTGGAGTTTGATTGTTCTGTTGATTATTTTAATATTTCGGCAATAATATACCCAAAAGTTATTCTCAAGATATATCCATGGTGCGTGAGATATTATATGAGCAATAACAAAAGGACATCATTGATTGTCTGTGGGAGAAACCTATGGCATAATGCATCTTTAAGAGAATGATAAAGTCATCATCTTGACAGACTCATTAAGAATAGTATAACATGTGGCACAATATGTTGAACAGAATAAAAGCAAGCATCACATTAGTGTACATCCCAGACCACAGTGGTTTCATATACATTGAGGTTGCGGACAAACTTGCGGGCAAAATTGTTGCTTCAAAATAGTCTCGATGAATTTGTATATTCTTTCGATTTTCTACAAAGGAAGACGGGTTTCAAATCATTCGGAGTCCAAGATAATCCCTAGATGTTCCAAACATGTCACTGGTCTGACTGTCTTGTGCCTTGTTAAAGGGATCTTCAGTTTGTTGAAAACTTAGTGTTAGAAGCGCCATAGTTCGTTCGACATCTGATTCTGGAGGATCTATCGACAAGAAATCATCAAGGAGGTAGAGGAGATTCGGAATCTTGTAATTGTGTGTGGCGATCCAACGAATAGCATGCGAAAGACAATATTTTTTGGAATAGATCGTAGACCAAATGGTAATCTATGATTAAGGAAGATGTCTTCGTTTCTTTGTATAAGTAAGAACTTTCATTCTGCGATGTTAACTGATTTTAAATGCATCAGGTATATCCACTTTGGAGAGAAGACTACAGCGTCTGAGTTTTGTTATAATTTTGACAGCATCGTCTATTTTCACGTATGAGAGGGAACACTCTTCTTTGTCAATAAGGTCATTAATACTGGGATTTTCCAGATTTTCGTGAGGAGCTGAAAGGTCAGTGATCAATCAAATGGTTCAAGTAAGAGCCCTTTATCGAAATCTTTGCATATTAATTCCTCTATTACTTCCGATTGTTTCCTAGCAGACGCCAATTTTTTAAATTTATATGAAGGCATCCATCACACAGGTACGCGACAAATTCTTTGTCAGGATATCATAGGGGTAACAAAATTACAAGCAACATGTACAATTGACCTACCAATCTATTCCTTACAATCGCAAGTACAATATCTTCAAAAAGATTCACGATATGTTATAAATTGGTGAAGTTATAACAGATTCAAAGTGCAAAAATAAGTGAAAAATGTTTAAATTCTCCCAAATAATAAGAATGGTAACCATTCTTATAGAAAAATAATATGTTATTATAAAAATCTTAAGTTTTCCTGAGATAAAGTGTGCTCTTTGTAGTCTATTGGGGATTTTTAGAAAATAGACATGACAAGGAATGACATGAGCCAGAAATATTCTAAAATGTAAACAATTTTTTGTTGGCCTGCTTGCTAGATCTGATTCTCTCTTTAATGTTTATAGGGGTAGACACTGAATATTTTATTTGCTCTGGATTTAGTCATTTTGGCTCACACAGTGAGCCTATGGAATCGACCAGGCGTCAGTCCGTTGGTCCGTCTGTCCGTCCATTGGTCCATCTGTCAACATTGGCCGCACAAATTAAAACTATTTAATTAAATGCCTATTTGACCTATCATCGCCATTTCCCAAGTTCGCCCGGTTTCCGAGAAATTGCTGATTTTGACGTCAAAAAGTCAAATTTTCTGTAAATACTAGACACTTTGTTGAAGTAGAACTTTCAAATAACTTGTTCAGGAAACTTTCTCATGTATAAAGTCAATGGCAGGTTCTGTTATTGACAAGTTTCTCAAAGTTTGCCTTATACTTGATAATTTCTTGCAATGAATTACATCATTACTAGATTTAAGCATTCCCTACATATTGCTCACTATATGTCAGCATCAAATTTTTACCATTTTGGAGATATTTGACGTAAAAAAACAGCAAAAATAAGTTATTTTTCAACTTGCTTCAATTTGACCAACTTTTTTTTTGAAAATCATGTACAAGTTGCCAGGAGTTCAAATCTGACATTTTTTAGGATTTGACCTTAACTTGACCTTCAGTGACCTTCGAAATGTCAAAAAGTTGATTTTTCAAATTGATTTTTGGATGTAGATTTTGGTCAGCTTAATCACAAAAGACCTTACTGAGCTCTGAATAAGTAAAATTTTCAAGTTCAAAGGTCATCAAACTAGGTCACACAACTGTGCTGTTTCTCAAACCGTTTCTCAAAGCTCGAGACTACAAATCCAAATCAATATTTTTGTGTGAAAGTCAGGATATACATTCCTCTGAAGGTTCCAAACTGTGTGAGCACAGGACCGTGGGTCCTTTATTTTCCCTTTGCGCGGTCACATTTTACTTGCATATGGAGCAAACGTGAATATTCATGCAATTAGTGCCAAATCTACATCCCCTGTCGGCATTGTAATTGTTACATATTTCCTGACAGTTGTCCAGAACGAGCCTTTTCCTGATGGAATGTCATTCTTTTTTTGTTATTACCCTCGTTGGACTTGCATATTTTTGATCCAACTTGTCCATTCCCTTGACGGAAATAATTAGCATCCTGGGGCTGATCAGGAATTTTGGGAGGGTCAAGGTTTGCATAAGGTCTCTGCCTCTGTCTCTTTGCACACCACCCTCTTATATTTTGAGAAGGCTTAAACACAAAATCACCAAACATAAAGTGCTTCTTTAGCCTGCTTTAACTGGTTGACAATTTTGGCCTTATGTGAACAGTACCATCGCGATCGATGTTTATTTAAGAACAAAGTTATTTTTGGCTTATATACAACTGACTTGTTCAACTTAGATGTGGGAGTAAAACAGGGATGTATTTTGTCACCAACACTTCTCACTGATGTTATGGGTGATCTAGTAGACAGTTTAAGCAAGTCAAAACCAGGAATCCCTTTTAAAAATAAAAATATCATCTGTTGACTTAATGCTGATGATATTGTTTTAATGTCACAATCATTTTGTTCTTGATATTTTAGACATATAGTCTAAATAATAATCCTGTTTTGATTTTCTATTTTCAGATATGGTTCAACAGCCAAACACATAAAAATAAATAGAACTCCAAGTAATGAGTTTTATATAGCAGATATAAAAGTATTCAAAAGTATACCAGTAAGTAGAATTGTTACTTATTTCACACTTGTAGTCCTGTAGTCTGATTTGCTGATTCCTGTCTAGTGTTATTATCCCATTGAACCAAGTTTGGGGATATAGAGAATGTCTGTGTCCAGGCAATAATTAATGTACCATTAGCCCAACATCGTTTATATTCTATAGTACAATGTATATGCCCATGTAAGAACAAGTTCTGTTTGAAAGCTGATTTTCAAAATGCCTACCCATTTTAAAATGACAGTCATTTTAGTGTCAAATTTAAAGTAATTTAGTTACAAAATTGCAAAAACTTATAGGATATTGATTTAGTTGAAAATCATATTTCTATATTTAAAAAAAAATCGGTGACTATCTTGAAAAATGGCGACCATCATGAATCCCGAATTGCATTTGAATTTATATTGATTCAAGTTCACTGTTCGACAGCTGGATGACTCTTACTGCAGTTAGCGTCATTCAAGATGGTTGCCAAAATTTTTTCGTTTTTGACAAACCTCCAATGTCAGCTAAACTAAGTTGAATCTGAATTCCCAAAGTTTTGCCATGCAAACTTATAAAGCTACAATTGTAAACATTAACAACAGTGATATGGGTGAAAGGATAGGTATCGATATGGTGAACTGAATTCAACAATGTTTTTCTCTTAAACAAATCATTGAAAACATTCTGTAAAAAACATGATGCAAAAATTATTTATATATTTTATATACATGTAACTGTTTTTGTTAACATTTTTCGTTTTTTAGTGCATTGTTTTTTGTTCCTTTCTACCAATTCTTGAGGATGAAATAAAATGTCTTTCCTTGTTGGAACAAAATAGCATAAACAGCATTTTCCTAGACCTCTCGATATTACAGTTGTACAAAGGAAATTTTGGTTGATTTAACAAAAATTATGCAAAAACTTAAAACAAAAACCCCCAAAATAGATAAAAATTGAGATATACATTTTATTTCATTAATAAGATACTTTTTTAAAATCAACCAAACTTTCCTTTGTACAATTGCAATATTGAGAGTAAACACATTCTGTTTGTCGTTTTGTTCCAATGAGGTTCGGATAGATGTTTCATTTCATTCCAAACATATGATACCAAGAACAAAAGAAGTGTCCGATGTGTTTTCTAAAACAATATAGAGAAACGGATATACGTATATATTTTAAATTATAATGTTACCATCCAAAAGATGACCATTAAATTGACGATGCGTAAAATTTTCAGAATGTTTTGATGACTGGTTTAAGAGAAATGCGTGTTCAAAAAGTTCACCATATCGATACCACTCCTTTAAAGAAAATAGCTTCACTTAGAATGATCAACTTCAGTTAAAGTCCTTCTAAGTGAAGTCGTTTTCTTTCAAATTCTCTAATATTGCATTTATTTGTGTTTTTACAATAATAATTTTATTAGTTTGCATGGCGAAACTTTTGGAATCCAGATTCAACTTAGTTTAGCTGAAATCCGAGGTTTGTTGAAAATGAAAGAATTTTGGAAACCATCTTGAATGAAGCTTGCTGCAGTTATAGTCATCCAGCTGTGGAACAGTGAAGTTGGCTCAAGTTTCTCTAATTGCAATTCAAAATCCCTTCATTCACATTGTCATTGAATAAAGTATTTGCTTCTTCATCAATTGTTCAGTTTTCTATTGATGGATTAAAAATTCTATTTTCAACTATTTCCATCAAAGGAGCATGTAGGTTATCGCAAACAATTTCAAACGATTTAGTTTTTCAAAAATGTTGACCTAATTTTGATCAAAAATGCAACCTTTTATTATATTATAATGTTGAGTGCATAATAAGAATGTGCTTTGAGACATGTTCGATTTCCTAAAAGGAAAAGTTGATTACTCCAGGGACTTTAAAGATATTCAATTTGGATGACCAAAATGAACTGAAACCAATGGATAGCATGAGATTTTTCAATTGAGAAATAACATTGGGAACACTTATCTTAAAGCAATTGGGTTTTCTTTAAAGAACTATTTGATACATCAAAATAAAGAATAGTAATGCATTAAACATTTTAAAAAATGATTGCATTTTTGGTGAAAATGGGGTCAACATCTTTGAAAAAGTGTGTTGATGGGTTGATTGCTAGTTGAATATCTCCAAGTTTGTTTAACTTTATTATTACTGTATATAATTTTCTTTGAGATGATAAATTGATCTAAAAGACATTAGGCTTAAAGTTTTCCGGATTTTCCGGCTAGTTCCGGTACTTTCAGACCGAAATTTGACCCCCGTGAGATCAGTGCAAATCCGGGTTGATATCAGAGGGGGGTATGGGTTGATCTGAAGTTGACAACTTGAGGAAAAAATCGTTTAATTGCGGGCCCCAAAACTGCTGATCAGCTGATTCACGTGTGATTTGTTATTCATAAATTATGTGGAACACGAAGCAATCTTACCATCTTGTCTGCATTATTACGACGAGAACTATTGACTTCGATTCGCTAAAGCGAGTTACGAAGTGTTATCTTGAATCTGATTGGCTTAAAGATATGACTAATCTGACGAATCAACCAATGAACGTAACCGTTATGAACACCGGCGGGCTAGCGCTAAAGGGAAACTTTTTGAAATTTTTCTAATCTGTCTTATTTCCGCCAGATATCGATAAAATAAGGACACGATGTGAAGTCACAGAGAACAGAGATGTAAGGTATGTCATTAAGAATAAGACAGATCCAGCCCAGTTATCAAATTAAAAAAATACAAAAATGCAATAAACAGATGTAAAAAAATGTGAACATTTTATTCAATGTACTTTCACCAGAAGGCTCTAGAAGCCACCAGAGGGCACCAATTTTCAAAATTTTCTTGGGGGGAGAACCCCCACAAACCCCCCTAGAGCTCCGCACACGCCTTTCGCCCAGCGTTCGGATAGTTTCAGGTAAAAAATTTTCACAGACTTTAAGCCTTGAAAAGATAAACCTGTCTTCATTGTCAGAAAATAGTCATAATCCAAAATATAACCTTCTGTAATTGTTTGCGATAACCTACATGCTCCTTTTCATGCTCCTTTTCATGTGGGACAATTTCAAGGTATTGATTATCACCATCCAATCACATCAAAAAATGCACACAGACTTCAAAAATCCATCACCATTTATAACCAAAAGTGTAATAGTGTTCATAAGGCAATCTCCCAGCTCCTGAGAATTTCTCAAATCTTAATTTCTAGAATCAAATGAGGGAAATGTTTAAGTATACTAGTACTAAATCTCATAAATTTAGGCAAAGGTCATTAGTAGAGCCCAATATAATATATAAAAAGTTCATACTTTTATACTATTATTATCAATTTAAAAAAATAGAGAAAATGTTAACCTCTCATTGTGGATGTACCAGGAATGTACATAATTTGTTTGAAATTAAATGAAATTTATTTCTGTTTCTATTTTAAGGAGCTAGTAGAGTACTACCAAAAGAATTCTCTCGAGGAAAGCTTCCCAGAGCTACAAACAACGTTAGCCCTTCCATTCAAAGTTAGTCAACAACGGTTAGGTCCAAGGACATGTAAGCATACGTCTAACATTTTTCTAAGAAATAGCTTTGGTTTCATTTCTCTTAGTTGGCTACCATTTTTCAACATTACATTACTCTTAAAAAGTCTGAAAAAGTATAAATATTGTGCAAGCGTTAATAAACTATAATAAAAAGAAAATCCCCTGACTTCTTGAGCATCATAGGTCAGCCAAGGAGATGTTGAAAGAACATCATGTGTTGATATTGAACAACATTCATTTTAACAATGAAATTGTAATGACTGTTAGCAGTATCTTGAAGTTGTTGAATATCAATGAATTCAGCACAGGATTTCGTTTTGTGTTTTCATTAACTCAATATATATGTTGAAAAGTATGTGCTCCCTCAGCTATGCTGGGAAATTAGTTTTAGTACACACAGAAATATCGTCCCATTATTTCCACATTGTTAAAATTGCATTTTCGCTGACATTGAGAAATCAGAGGTTGAAGTTTAGGTCTTCATAACTTTTGAGTAGTAATTTTTAAAAACTTATTTTTTCGTATAGGTAATCATGTGTATGTGTAGGCCTTGCAGAGCAAAAATCACTGATTGAAAATAAATAAAACAAATCTTTTATATGGTTTCTTCTTTTTGAAATATCAAAATAACCCTGAAAACTGAATTTTTATTCACTTCCATTTTGTTATTGTCTCGTATACCATTATTCTGCCCATCTGATTATAAAGAATATGGCTTGTGTTCCATTTTGACTGATAAGGTACTGGAGGAGCTTGGTCCATGTTTTTTGAGCCTATGGGATCGACCAGGCGTCCGTCTGTCCGTTGGTCTGTCCGTCCATTGGTCCGTCCGTTGGTCCGTCCATCCATCAACATTGGCCGCACAAATTAAAACTGCTATTCGGATTGAGTCATATCCACATTCATTTTATGCATATTCATAATGCCTATTTGACCTGGCATTGCCATTTCCCAAGTTCGCCCAGTTTCCGAGAAATTGCTGATTTTGATGTCAAAAAGTCAAATTTTCTGTAAATACTAGACACTTTGTTGAAGTAGAACTTTCAAATAACTTGTAGTAGTTGCTGTAAATGCAACTTATGTCCTCCAAAGATTTCAAAGCTCTTGGAATTACAGTTTTTGGTGTTTACTCAATAAAATTTGACATAAAGTAGGACTTGTGTCATTTTCAGGAAACTTTCTCATGTATAAAGTCAATGGCAGGTTTTGTGATTGACAAGTTTCTCAAAGTTTGCCTTATACTTCATCATTTCTTGCAATGAATTACATCATTACTAGATTTAAGCATTCCCTACATATTGCTCAATATATGTCAGCATCAAATTTTTACCGTTTTTGAGATATTTTACGTCAAAAAACAGTAAAAATAAGTTATTTTCGCCTGATCGATCCAATAGGCTCACTGTGTGAGCCAATTACTATTAGATATACTTTGTAGATGTTATTTATGAAGCTATAGTCACTCTACTATACCTTGCATTTGGTGTTCATGTGCAACCCATTTGGCTTATCAGTAATGATTATGTTATTTGTTTTTATGTGTCTGCTGCTTATGAATGGTTTATTGGATGATTGTTAGATGTTAATAAGGTACTTTCGAGGTTAGGTATAGTAGAGTGTAAGTGTATGCATCAATCAAATGGATCATTTTGAACATATAAAAAGTATTTGTGCTTTGTTTCCCAGGGAATTGTATTCCCATGTAGTACACACATAAACAGTGTACATTATGTAGTACTTCAAGGCCTGGTTTATAAAATATTGAAGGGCATGCTGATTGTACACACAAGTACATGCATGAAGGCCTAATATTGATATAGCTTGCATACCTAAATAAAAATAAACTCTTCTAATCCCCTAATGTAAACACGGCGGTATACGTAGCCCGATTTATTCAGAAGGGTATCTAGAAACTTGAAAAGGGTATCTAGAAACATGACATTTACATCAGTTACATTAACATTTAGCAATTTCTTGGAAATCATAATAATTTTCAATTTCCATGCTTTATTCCCAATTACTATCACCTTTAAAGGTAATATCCTGTACTTCCACCTAACATATAAATCTTCAATTTCCTAATATGGGGTAATGTCAACTTTAACTCCCAGAGAGTAAATGATCTAATTTGATGCTATCATGTGTAAATATGGTGTTATATTGAAATCATGTAGCACTCTCAGATCTTTCATATTTGCTATAATTAAGGAAGCCAACGTGTGATGCCTTTGGTGCCAATTTCTCAAAGAACTATAATAGGTAATGGATATGCAAGTCAATTGTCTATTTTGCAAAGACATCTATATAATTTCGACAAATTGACTCCTCAGCATAACTCAAATCTGTTATTTTTTGTTTTCAGCTTCTTCGATTTTGGGGTATGCAATCGTATTATTTGATTATGCAGCTACAGCACCAAATCAGTTATCACTTACAAAAGATGAGAGAGTGGCAATAACCAGCAAGGCAGGGGGTGACAAGGGCTGGTGGAAGGGCAAATTAATGGACAGCAGTAGGGTGAGTATAGTACATGGAATGGCAGGTTCAAAGGGCTTGTATTAAGAAACAAATAAGAAATCTGTATTGCCCAAGGGAGTGAAATAATTTGATTTTCTGTAACTGTCTAATCCATTTTCTGTCTTCAAACATAACACTTTACCAATCATTGACACATCCAGGCTCCAATGTGTGCCATTAAAGACCTAATGTTTAAAATTCAATAGCGGATCAGCTTCTGTTATATACTCTCCTCTACATGCTGAAAAGATTAGCTGGTCTGGAAAGAATAAGACAAACTCAAAGACTATTTGCTGCTGGCACATCTACCTTGGGAATTGTATGATATTAGGAGAAAAGCTAAATATTGTAGATAATTATCCCATCGAACGAAGTTCAAACATAAAAATGAAAACATAGTTCAGTGAATTGGGGATTTGGGGTCCATAATATATCCTTCATATTTCCACTAGAGACTGTTGGATATCGATATAAAGTTACATATCATATCTTTTCAATTTGATAATAGATCATCATTTTTTGTGTAAAAGTTTAGAAATATTAAAAAGAAATAAGAAAACTCACGACCTTTTGGCATGCGCAGAAATCTGTGTAGAAGCTTTCTTGAATAAATGAGGAAACAAAATTCTTAAACTTGAACATTTCCTTCATTCATTATGAACTATTATGAGAAAATATTAGTTTAACATAATGTGGAAAGTACCAAATGATGATTTATCGGGAGGATGCATTGAATTACAAAATGCGTCACGTCTACAGCAGTTTAGTGTAAGTGCTCTATTATCGCCCATTTGAGTCACCAGAATTTTAATTTTTTAGATCTATTAGGGTTTTAATTTCGATATGCTGACAATTAATAATGTCTTCTCAAAACCTTAAAGGCCCAATGTATAGTTTGAAACTATATTTTTATTACTGAATTACTATATTTCATGACTTACAAGTTATTTTAGATATTTTTAAAACAAAACTTTTTTTTCAAATAGATATATTCAACATTTCAGCCACTTTTCAGACAAAATTTTTCAGCCATCAGATATTCTACTATGACTTTACAGTACAAAATATAATGTTTTTAATACCATAACAAAGATTGAACAAAAGACAAACTATGTTTAGAAGAAGAATATATAATGTTTTTTTAAGTATTACTGTACCATTGGTTTCTCTGAGAAAATTGCCCTGGGCTATGCAAAAATGCAAAAAGCCAAAAGTTGCAAAAGTTATACGTAAAATCAAACATTGCAAGCTATTTTGCAGCAACCTTTTTCAAGAAAATGTCATAAAACAATGAAAATGACTGTCAACTGGAAAATAACTACACTATGGATTAGTTGTAAGATTTTTGCAACAGTTTGAAAATAGTAGGATGATATTTATACATGCCGCCATATAAAGCACCAAGCTATGATTATAAATTGAAAACAATATAGAGAAAAAGAATTAGCTGAGAATGAATGTAATAGTCATCAAGTCTATATTCCAAGTTTGTTCTCCACTGTAGAGAACTAGATATCTCCATGATTGATTAAATGAACTTAGTCTGTTTTATTCAATGATCTTATTCACTTAGAATTCCTCAAAGCATAGGAACTTATTGTAGTTAATTGAATCATTTGAATTTTATCTCTATATCCATTAAAGTTACAGCACTGTATTGCATGTCAAACTCTGCCTTATCTTGGAAAAGGAAGGGCTCTGTCAGAGGTCTCTGAATTTTACACCTTATTTCTTAAACTCTCTTGCTTAATTTCTTGTTTTTGTGAGGAATTTATGTTATGTAACTCACTAACCTGACATTGAATTAAGAAATTATGAATTATTAAATGAAACATTATATGTCTTATTTCATTATGTACTAAAGTTAAGAATTGACTAATTTTATTATTAGACTCCAGATGTCAATCTGGAGTCTATTGTTTTTGCCAGTATTCTTCTTCTTTATTCTTATTCTTATTATTCTTCTACAAACGTTTTCTCCTTAACTAGAAGACATTGAGTCAAGTCCTGTATATGGTCAATTTAGGTCCAGTATCTAGTTTCTGGGAAATTGGGTCAATTTTTTATCTAGGTCAAAGGTCAAGAACTAGGTCAAATCCAGTACTTTGTCACTTTTTTCAATTTTCTCAGTCGTCCTTCAATATTTTCGATCCAGGTTTTTTTCATTGTGTTCCTCATAAAAAAGTAGGAGAGCTAGGGTCGATTTAGTTTTTTGATATCTCAAACCGATTTTGAGATATGGCGTCCAGAAAGTAGGTCACACCAAAACGCGCTCCAAATTCAATGTATGAGTTATGAATTAGGGGTAGAATTTTGTCAGGAATCCGAATCTGCAAACCAAATTTCGATCCGACTTCTGGTTCGGAAGTTATGGCGTTTTGAAAACTCAAAAATCGCTAAATTTTGTGCCCATGTTAAGTCAATGGGAAAAAAGATTTTTTTGAAGTGAAAAATACGAAATATAGACTGAGTTCAGCTTAATTTAATGAAAGCCTTCAAAAGAAGGGGACCTCAAAAGCCATCTAGCTTCAGAATTTGGACACCAAAATTCCTAGGTCAAAATCTAGGTCAAATTCAAATGTTTTCCTTATTTTTGCGATTCTGACACTACACTTCAATTATATTCTTCGAAATTGTGTATACATGTAGCCAAGAGTGTGCTAATAGTGTTAGCCTCTAGCCGTCAGAAAGTATTTTGACCCACTTTTGAGATATGGTGTCCAAAAAGTAGGTCAAAATAAAAAGTTCTCCAAATTTAACGTATGAGTTATGAATTAGGTGTAGAATTTTGTCAGGAATCTGAATCTGCAAACCAAATTTCGATCCGACTTCCGGTTCGGAAGTAATGGCGTGTCCGAAAAGTAGGTCAAAATAAAAATTCGCCAAATTTAACGTATTAGTTATGAATTAGGGGTAGAATTTTGTCAGGAATCCGAATCTTTAAATCAAATTTCGATCTGACTACCGGTTTGGAAGTTATGGCATTTTGAAATTTCGGAAAATCGATCTGATTGCATCCTGATAGAAAGTCAAGAGTAGAGAAGAAAATATTGAAAAATTCATCCATCCTTCCTATCTGATCTTATCCTATCCTATCCTATCCTTCCTATCTATCCTTCCTTCGTATCTTTTCCTTCCTATCCTTCCTATCCTCTCCTATCATATCCTTTCTTCCTATTCTGTTCTATCCTATCCTTCTTTCTTATTCTATCCTATTGTTCCTTCCTATTCTATCCTATCGTTCCTTCCTATTCTATCCTATCCTACATTCCTATTTTATCCATCCATCTTTTTCTGGATGACTCAGCTTATTCTGGATGACTCCGCTTATTCTGGATGACTCGGCTAAAAAAGGTCTAAATCTGGAGTCTGAAATTGAACTTCTTTCAATTTCCAAAGTCTAGTTATATTTTGTTTTTATTAGCATCACTTACTTGTCCGTCTGTCCATCAGTCCGTCCGTCTGTCTATCAACAATTGGCCCATTTCAAAACCTCTGTTAATAGGGTTCCTTCAACATCAATATAGCAAACCCCCTATGACTCCTGGTTCAAATCTCGCCTATTTTCAAAATGGCTGCCATTTTTGTCGTGCGAAATTCACTTTTAGACCATTGTTGATAGGATTCCCTTTTCAAATTATTTTGTCCAACATCAATGCAGAAAACTCCCATATGACTCCTGGTTCAAAAGCTCGTTTATTTTCAAAATGGCCCCCATTTTTGTCTCGCAGATTCGACCATTTGCTAGCTTTATAAATAATTTCAGGTGTCCTGCATAATAAAAAAACCATGTCACTGTAAAGAGTAGTTGTATGCCATAATTTTGTAACAAAAAATCGGCAAAAAATTATATCCGTTTTTTATTTTCAGCCATTTTAGTTAACATTAATATGTCAATCTCTCTCGCAAAATCCACTTTTGGACCATTTGTTTTAAAACCTCTGTCGATAGGATTCTCGTTTTAAGTTATTTTTGTTCATCATCAATACAGAAAACCCCCTATGACTCTTGATTCAAAAGCTCGCCTATTTTCGAAATGGCCGCCATTTTTGTCTTGCGAAATTCACTTTTGGACCATTTTCTAGCTTCATAAATAATTTCAGGTGTACAGCATTGTAAAAAGCCATGTCACTGTAATAAAAGTAGTTGTAAGAAATAATTTTGTTACAAAAACTCGGCAAAAAATTATATCCGTTTTTTTTTAATTTTCTGCCATTTTAGCCATCATTTAATTTTGAGCAACACCATGCAAGCCCAGTACCCAGGGTACTTTTCATTAATTATCTGGTTTCTGTTATGTGCCCATAAGCAATCAGAGAACAATGGGGTTACAATACATAGGGGTTGCCTCTCACTGGGGGACCATGCACCTATAAATTATAAATTATTGCAATAAAGAAAAGCTATCAGAGATTTTGAAGACATTGACCTTATTCATTTAGATTTGCCTAAAACCACTATGCCATTTATCTGCAGTGATTGCATGCTTTTTATTATCTGCTTTGTATAAGGTTTTAATAAGAGCATGCTTAGTTACAGATAATGGTAATTATTATTGTTATCAGTGGTAATATTTCAGTTCCTCTGTTGAGCAATCATTCTGAGCCTAAGAGGAGGGAAATCCTCATAGCTTAGAAAATGACAGACAGAATTACGACTCTTGCTGACCACCTTCGTTTGGTAGAATTTTCACCTGCTCATCGTTGTGATGGTTTAATTGATGTTAGCATATTCCTTACACATTTTAATGATCTCCCAGCATTTTATCAAAATAGGGAGGGGGAATTCACATTGGCTAATCTTGCTCAAAATTTAGTTCATGGCAGCTATATTTTTTTTTTGTTAAGTTTCAATAAAACCACAAGTCTCAAGAGTAACATTGTTATCCCATCGAACAGGCAATAACTCAAATATCTTTGGCCTGATTTTGTTCATATTTTGTACACATATACCCTAGAAGTTCTGCTCGAAAGCAGTAATAGCAAATGTTTTAAATTTTAAAAAAATATATAGGACATTAATAAATCTAGAAATGTAGATATTAAAGAAGCACATGGCAGCCATCTTGAAAAATGGCGGCCTTTACTCGCTATTTTACGATTTTTGCTGTAACAAGGGTGATTTTGTTCATATTTTGTATGTGAATACTATAAGCATGGCATACTGTCTAATGTCACTTTTGTAGAAGATGGCCATTTTTCAAAATGGCTGCCATTTTAACGTATTTTAGTATAATTCGAAAAGTAGTGGAGCGATTTTGTTCATATTTGGTATGTGAATAAGCATGTCACACTGTCTAATGACACTTTTAGTAGAAGGTGGCCATCTCAAAAAGTAGTGGAGCGATTTTGTTCATATTTGGTATGTGAATACTATAAGCATGGCACACTGTCTAATTACACTTTTGGTAGAAGGTGGCCTTTTTGAAAAATGGCTACCATTTTTGCTATAACTTTGTTTGTAAAAATGCCAGCCATAGCTGTTCGATGGGATTTGCTACGCATTGGCGTTGCTGTTGTCTAGTTTTTCTTCCAAAAGTATACAAGATTATGTGCATGTTAATGTTCATCTGTGATATGTATTTACAGAGAAACTTAAAAGATGATCAATTTTACACAAAGATAAAATACTGAGGAAAAATAAAAGAGTAATAAGTACTTTTATGTAGATCTCAAAATACATCCAATTTTGAATTCTCATTGCTGCATGTTCCACACAGCTGCTTAAGATCATGAGTTCTCTGAATCACTTCATGAAACCTTAAAAGAGTAAATTCACACAATCGCCCTATTTTCAATGTTGTTTAATTCAATAGCTACATGTAGTACAATATCCTCTCAATCATATGTATATTGTGTATCCCACATTCTCCTCAAAGAGATGCTTCAAGCAACAAATATATTACAGTGTATCTCAAAAAATGCAACAAACAAAAACATTGAAAAATCACAAATCCAGTGATATCAACATTGATTCCATTTAATTAACCATGAAGCCATGCGTCTCATCTTTCCAATGATATGTCATTTATTCATGTGTGACCACGGACCACCGAATAATCTTTCCTTTTGCACAATAGTCCAAAATCTGCTCTGGACCAAGTTTTAGACATTGTACACTACGACAGAGAATCTCCAATGAGGTTGCTGCTCTTTGCCAGAACCCACAAATGATTCAAAAAGCTTTGTGTGACATGAAGAGATGAGGCAATATCTACTTGCAGAGAAATGATGGACATAGAATGTAGTTCGCAGGAGTAATCATATGACAGAAAATTATAGTAACTTTACCTGACTAACAGTTTTAATGATTCCACTTCCTTTTTCTATATGTTTGATGTGCTGTTCACTAAACTATCATGGATACCGATAAATACATTGAGTGAAATCATTTTTTCTTAGTAGATCTAAGTCTGATATTTATGTCATGTAAGTTTTGTGATCAAAAGTTAATCCTCAGACACAAGTACATAATGATTTACCTGATGACATCATGAGGATCATTTGAATTAGTATGTTTCAAACACACAACGCACAAAGGCATTTTCACCCATGTGCGAAGAAACAAGGATTATTGGTCCATGATCGTATATGAACAAATGATCATTTGAAAGAGGAGAAATGTAGCTTCATTGTAAATTAAATGAAATTGACATAATTATCACTGGATTTGTGGTATTACAACATGTTGTTTGTTGCGTTTTCTTTGAGATGCACTGTATAAATCAAACTTAACCTATATTCACACATAGTGTTCAATTCCAGCCGATCCAAGCACAGTATTTCATATAACTGCACTGCATTATATAACTAATAAATCACCCAAGGTCATTTGTTTAATGGTTGTCAAGCTGACATATTGAAATTGATGCTTTGCCAACTTGACCCTCAGTCACTGAGATTCTCTACCAGATGTGCAGTTATTAGAGAAAACATGGAAGACCATTATATGGCAGATGTATCTTATCAAGGCATAAAAAATCCATCAAACAACCCTGTTTGAAAAATCCATTTTGTGAATGAATCTTCAGTAAAAGCTATTACTTAATTATATTAGATAAGCTCTGAGACATTGATTATGAGTAATCACAATCTCTGGGGTCAATATGACCAAGATTTGTTGTTTTGAAAGTCTGTGTAATTGACAGTCTATAGTCATGTTGACAGGATAAGTGTAAGTGTTGCCATTAATGCTGAATGTACTTATTGGGTGATCTTATAGAGTGCATTGCCAAGATATTCCATCCATTGGAAAACAAGAACCCTATGTGCCCCCCCCCCCCCTTATGTGCTATACGACTATTCCATACATTGGATAACAAGAACCCTATGTGCCAAGTGTCCCCCCCATGTGCTATACGACTATTCCAAACATTGGAAAACAAGAACCCTATGTGCCAAGTGTCCCCCCCATGTGCTATACGACTATTCCAAACATTGGAAAACAAGAACCCTATGTGCCAAGTGTCCCCCCCCCATGTGCTATATGACTATTCCATACATTGGAAAACAAGAACCCTATGTGCCAAGTGTCCCCCCCATGTGCTATATGACTATTCCATACATTGGAAAACAAGAACCCTATGTGCCAAGAGTCCCCCCCATGTGCTATATGACTATTCCATACATTGGAAAACAAGAACCCTATGTGCCAAGTGTCCCCCCCATGTGCTATATGACTATTCCATACATTGGAAAACAAGAACCCTATGTGCCAAGTGTCCCCCCCCATGTGCTATATGACTAATGAGACTCTTTTTAAGCAAAGGAAATCAGCTGATGTTTAAAGTTTGATGGAGTTTTCTAGAAATTGTTTTGATTATTACTTACTCCTAAGATTGACATCTGAAAGGGTGCTTTAATAAAGTGGATGCAGAAAATCACGTACAATTTAATGGCCATTGGTTAAAGTGTTAAAACATACATGATAATTTTGCACATCTTTACTTTTATATTTTAACAACAGAAATTCTATTCATGTATTTTCATAGAATTTTTCATGTAACTCTCATGCCTTTTTAGTTCCTCACTAAATTCCTCACAGTTTCACTTCAAATACACAATCAGCCTTGGATTTCTCGCTTGGGTGGCCTAATCAATATCAAACGTCAATCCGCGTGGGATTTGTCATTGTTTGGGGAAACAACTGTAGTGATACTACATGATTGTAAGCTCACGTGGTGAGCTATTGCAATCACTCACTTGTCCGTCGGTCTGTCCATCCATCTGTCTGTCAACAATTGGCTTGTTTTGAAACCTCTGTCAAGAATTCCTGTTTAAGTTATTTTTGTTCATAGATCAACATCAATAAAGAAAACCCCCCTATGACTCCTGGTTTAAAAGCTCGCCTATTTTCGAAATCCACTTTTGGACCATTTGTTTTAAAACCTCAATAGTATTCCCATTTTAAATTATTTTTGCTCAACATCAATACTGAAAACCCCCTATGACTCCTGGTTCAAAAGCTTGCCTTTTTCAAAATGGCCACCATATTTGTTTCGCAAAATTCACTTTTGGACCATTTGTTAGCTTTATGAATAATTTCAGGTGTCCTACATTGTAAAAAGCCATGCCACTGTAAAGATTAGTTGTATGCTATAATTTTGTTACAAAAAATCTGCAAAAAATTATATCCATTAATTTGATTAACATTGATTTGTCCATCTGTCTCATGAAATCCACTTTTGGACCATTTGTTTTAAAACATCTGTTGATAGGATTCCCGTTTTAAGTTATTTTTGTTCAACATCAATAGAGAAAAAAAACGATGACCCCTGGTTCAAGAGCTCGTCTGTTTTAAAAATGGCTGCTATTTTTGTCTCTAAAAATCACTTTCGGACCATTTGGTAGCTTTATAAATAATTTCAGCTGTCCTGCATTGAAAAAAGCCATGTCACTCTAAAATGTTGAGATTAGAGATTAGTCTGTGTCCATTATTATCCCAACAAACAATGTTTAGTAGGGATATAGTGAAGCCATCCATCTGTCAGTCAGTCAGTCTGTCAGTCCGGAAGATAATTCGAATACTAGTTGACAGATTCGTATTTGGTGGAAAGATGTATATTGGTGAATATCGCAAAAATCTTGTTTTTCATTTTAAACCAAAATGATAAATATTATCAAAATTCAAAATGGCCACCATTGTCCAGCAATATTGCGTTGTAAACCTGTTCTGAATTAAGTGAGTGGTAGTGCCATCGTTTTGATTCTCCACCGTGATATGAAATTACTCAGGAAGTATATATCTACTGTCAAGAATCTTCATTTTCCAAGGGATGGAAAAATGTGATTGATATAAGGATGTTTTTGCTTTCAGAGTGGCTACTTTCCACGTGCATATGTCGAGGAGCTAGATGAAAACGGAGCCTGTCCCTGATCCATATGTGACCAAAAATACTGAACTAAAGCAACTTATTGAATCTGTTTAACATCTTCACCATATGCTCATAGTGATAGTGTAAGAGGATTTGGTCTCATCATATGTGTACTCTGTGACTCGGTCCACTCACTTGAACAATGTTGCAGAAAGGATAATAATATAATGTTGTGATTCAGATTAGAGAATGCCATATCTCCACTCATATCAATGTCTCCCTTGTCATATATCCACCCATAATATCCCATTGGGCCTTCCAAATACAATTCAACTTTCCCAAGTAACCCCCGCAACTCTCTATATTTGTGGGTAATGCAGAGCCTAATATAAAAGACTAGCACAACAGAATGGAAAACTTATAATTTACAAATTTATGAAGCATTGTAGGTTCTACCAGAAACTTATAATAGCATATTATAATTTATAATAGGTGGAATAATCAGAATCAAAAATGTTAATATAAATAATTATATGTGCATTTACAACTTGTTTACTTCCTGTATGTAATCTATCTACTCAGATCCTTGGAAACACTGTAGGCATAAGAGGGGGCAAGTTGTAGCAAATATTAGAGTTGATAAATGAATCAATTGCCATGATGTCATTTAATCATGCAATCACTGAATGGAACGCAGTATTTTGACAAATGAGTGAAGAACATTTTTAATCACCTATAATTAGGCAATATTAGTTGAGGTTGGTGAAATGCCCTGCCCAAAAAAATATAGACAGATCATTCAATAAAAGGACATAGGGAAAAAATTTAAAAAGGTCCATGTGCAGTATGGCAAGTGATTTTAGACGGTCATATCTTTCACCATGGGTACTTTCTGGCCAAAAATACAGTGGTTTTTATGAAAGCAATGTTTTCTTTCAATTGAAGTTCCCGTGATAGTAAAATATCAATCCAACTCTCTGAAAAAATTATGGTTCAGGACCCCATCTGGGCACTTTTCTAAAAAGAGGATCTTGTTTTTCTTGATTTAACCATGCCAAAAGTTTCTTCTACACTATATTAACAACTTCTGAACTGGGAATTGGTATTGAAATGTGTTAAAGTTAAAAACCACATATCCCATGTTATTTTCCCATAGGGAAAACTCATGCTATCCATTGTTTTCAGCATAATTTTGGTCATCGAAAATTGATATCTTCAAAACTAGACTTTCAATACCATTCTACTTTTGAAAAAGTTTTAGATCCTTTTTTGAATAATGTTTTCATGCAATAAAAATCAGAAAAAAGAAGATCCTCTTTTGAGCAAATAAATTCAACATTTTGAAAAATTGTTGACGTACCCTATTTATAATTTTTCGAATTGTTCGATTGATATTTTTATCATCATGGGGACTTGATATTGGTATTTCTTCCAGAGTGCCATGTATTCATGGTGAAAGATATGACTGTCTAAAATCACTTGCCATACTGCACATGGACCTTTGCTATTGAAATTGTAAATGACCTCACAAAATTCCTCATATAGATATGTACATTTGAAACTGTATTATCATATTCACCACATTCATAGGTGTATTTATTCGGATCGCAAACAGATATTAAGTATAAAATGTTAAGTTTAAAAATGTGACAAACGATATGCATTGTAATATGTGTACAGTTCACTGTAAATGTCTACAATTCTTTTTAAAATTTGTACAATTCACTGTATAATTTGTACAATTCAATTAATTTTGATTTTGATTACTATTTATAAGATACATAAAACTAAGTCTATGTCATACGTTTTGGGTTAAACCGAAAAAATTTCAGTGAAAATTATTTTTAGACATATCGTTGTAAATAGTACATAAATAATGGCAGTTAAATAGCTTGGGTATTTAACTATTATCAAGATTGTAAATATTGTATAAAAATTTTTTTAATGATGATGATGGAAAAATAATGTACAGTTTTATTGTAACCAGAAATAATTTAATACATTTGCAGTAATATAAGGTCACAATCAAGATATTTACTAACATAGTCCAGAGCACAATCTTGAGCTGATTGTTCCATGTATTGACCCATGGGGGCCGGCTAGACACCAGGTCCTCATTATTTGGGTGAAATTTTGAGATTTTGTATGTAATGTGAATTATTTTACTTTTTCAAGAATATTTGAGGTCCAAAAATATGCAGTTATACTATTTTCTGATGTTAAAAAATGAATTGTGAAAAAAGTGTGATTTTGTAAGTTTAGTCCAATGCACAGTTGTCATCAAAATTGGAGGGATTTCTCAGAGCTGTGTGTGATACTGAATCTTTGAATTTTTAACAAAAGTGCACTTACCAAAATTAAATGATTTGTATTGTGTATGTTGTACAAGAAAGTGTTTTACACAAACCATTTTTATAAAAATGGCAAAATATGTTTAAACCTTCAGCGCATCATGATGTATGTCTCCCATCATAGTACTTCAGATAAGATTTATATTATTATTCATAGTTAATGCTTGAATTGTGATGGAATATCACACATGTCACATAAATTATATATATGTGCCTCAAATCTTTATGAATTTCATGGCAAATAGCAAATAATGATAAATGACATTTCGTTCCTTATTAATTATTTTTACATCCATATAAATTACATCTCAATCCTTATCTATTACATCTGCACCCGTTTGACTTACATTGCAAGTCCATGTATACAATTTCAGGAATCAACATGCCAAAAAACAAATTGGGATATAATCTAAATGGCTGTGTAGTTATGATTACTAAATAGTTGTTTTGGGGTTATTACACAGTGTTTCTTTTTATGATAGATCATTGTGGTCCTTGGAGCTAGCTTCATTATGATTTCTTATATTCTTAATTGCCACTTTTCTTTCTTCTCTTGCTGTGCTTTAATACTTTCCCTTTTGTTGCTTATATGGCTTTTGAGACATTTTAAAATGGTTTGGGATAATTCCATGAAGAGTAACATTTGTTGACATCTTTAAGTGAGGTTAATGCCCTGTATTGTAATGGTTCAAGTCTAATTCAAAAAGTAATGAAAAGGAAAATTGCAAACATTTTGAAACTTCTATATCTGTTTAGTTAACCATTGAAATGTATAATAAAAAATAAAGGCCACCTTATTTATTAAGTGATTTATTGCACTGGAATCATGAAAATGTCAATGTAAGTGCGTTTCATTGATTATTATGACCGTAAAATAGCGGTCCATGGTGAATGGTAATGTTCATGGTATGTTTTACATTGTGTTTATTGGCTATGAGGTAGTATACAACAATGAATTGTGATTAATAGCAATATATATCACCAACCTAAGTAGTAATAGTGTATTCCAATTTGTTTATCTACTTCACAAAGGATATTTGTTCCATCCAACAAGGTTCAGAGGATATAGAGAATGGCTTCATCCATACTTCAGTCCATTCAAATTCTGGACCAATGTCATTTGTATTTTTTGTATTTTATACGTGGGAGTACAAGTTCTGTTCGAATGTCAGTTTTCAAGATTGCTGCTGGTGTCAAAATTACTGCCATTTTAATGTCAATTTTACAGTATTCTAGGTACAACATATAAAGGACGATTCTCGGTTTGGAGAACAGTCTCCTGGGCTAATAATTTTTTTCATGAAAAATATAGAAATATTACCCAAATTAAACTATGAATATTCAAAAGAGGACATTTAAATCTACAAGATATAAAGATAACAAATTGGTCTGAAGCAGGGATAACGCTCAATTAGACCGATTCAATAAAATATTAGTCTCGATTTGGGGAAAGAAGTTCATTAGTGTACTGCGCTAATATTTTTTTGTGAAAAATCTAGAAATATTACCCAAATTAAATTATGACTATTCAAAAGAAGACATTCAAATCTATATTATGTAAAAAAAATCAAATTTGTCAGAAGCAGGGATAATACTCATTTAGATTGATGAACTTCGTTCTCCAAACCGAGAATCGTCCTTTGTAATATTAATATGTTTCAAATGCAAAAAATCATGTTGGATACAGAATGTAACACATGGACTTTAACATATAGCATGTAAATTACATGTAAATGTTAATGTTAATGCCTTGTTGGTATTGGTAGGTGCACACTTATTTGTATAAATTGTATTTATTTGCTTTTTTGAGTAACAAATATATTCAAAGTTGTATTGTGTATGATTTTTTTAAAATATCAAGAATACCTGTATCTGTAGAAAGGTACATTCTGTAACTGCTAATTGTAAAATGACTGATTTTCCTTGGTATAATTTAACAAGATATGTATATAAATGTATAAAAAGAAACAAAACTTACAAACATTTTGTAATAAAATACAAAACCCCACTACTAAATGTTGTTTCTGTTCTTATATGTGGTGTATCATTTTTCGATGAGGCTCAAAAAGATATGAAAGGATATGTAGAAATTAGTAATTAGATAACTTACCCATTAGAACTAAGAAAATGGATACTGATCACTTGTCCTAGAATTACATGACTCGATATTTCATACAAAAGCTTTATATTTGAGCTATGAACAAAAAACAACAATAGCTTCTTCAATCAATGTTAATATCACGGTGTCCAACCCAAACGCTCTTACATGCACGACGGAGCGTTTCATTTACGCGGAAACACTCCGGAGCAAAATAAAATGGCGGCTAATGAAGATTCCACTATGACCGTAAGTATTGTTTCACTCGTTTCTCTTACATATCATACGTTATGGTGACATATTATGTACCATTCGATGAACAATACCGTGAGCAAAGATCTTATTTATTCAACTTCTGGTGGTAAACTGTTATTTGCTTGATCAAAGCTCCGTAGTGTAGATCGAACAAATCTGAAGATGACGATTTGACCACAAATAACGAATTAAACTAGTATTTATATGAAAACGTTAATCTTTCTGTTAAGGTAGTAGATCACAAACTCGTATATTCTCATTTCCTAAAATCCCAGTCCAAATCCATTACTTGTTCTTGAGAAATCGCTTGTTTTCCTCGAAACGCTCGGTCGATTTAGGACACAATTTTAGAAACGCTCTTACCATTTTGTTTTGATATCATTTTCAGGTTATTAGAGAAGAGTTCCGAATCGAATCTATCTCTCAAAAACGTGTTGTACTTGTTTGAACCTGGTGGTGCTAAACGTGCAACTAGCTGATTTAAGCCAGCATTAGATGATGTCATGCCTACATGTGTGCTAAATCATAAAACTATTGAAAAAAACGAAAAGTTTATATGTGAATTGATCTTTCTTCTTTTGATGCCAAGGGGTAATAGTAGATCTTTTCTTTCTCTTCCTGGAAAGGAAAGGCAAGCTATATATTTCCTAAACAGATCTAGACTACCGGAGCGTTTCCAGTTCACTGTGTTAACCAGATCGGAGCGTTTCTTGAATATGAGAATGTCATCATTTTTAAGACTGGATTTTCGGTCATCAAATCACTATTACGATAATGTTTGGTGCGTTGAAGCATTGAAATTTGACTAAAATATACGTTGGTGCTCTAATCTTGGCTCAACTAATCACATGCCTCGACAAAAGTGGTTTTGGCCGATAGAATGGCAAATACGTTTTTGAATTTTGATAACTTTACTGCTTCGTACAGCTCTTCCTAATTGCTTCAAACGTCAACAGCCAGCCAAGTACAACATGAATATCACACCCATCGAATGGTATACTTGAAATATGTAACTCATATCTCTGATTCCCATTATTTGGGAAATCGTCAGACGGCCCATCATTCCCGCCCGCCAGTTTTCCTACTCCGGAGCGTTTCTTTGTTTAATTTCAGTAATGAAACGCTCCGTCGTGCATGTAAGAGCGTTT